TATGTTATTTGCTTCCGCTTTTATGAACATGTTGAATTGGTTTCAAACTATGATGTTTTGAAAATGTTGATCATGTGGATTGGATTTTGAACCATATGAGTTGGTTTGATTTTATGTTATTGAACAATTGAACTGGTTTATCATGCTGATATGCTTATGTTGAATATTATGTTGACTCATTTTTTGGATAATGAAATCCATGTGAAAAACCGGGCAATGAATCCCCGTGAGTTCAGATATGACTTGAACTATGTTGTTAAATGATCAATAACGCCCCATATTTATATTGAAATCGAAAAATGAATTTCAAAAATTAAATCTTGATTTTTGGGAAAGTCCGGAATTTCTTTAAAATCAAAATGAGGTGTTACGATGTCATTGATTCCTAGAATATATGTAACTCCTTCTAATCTTAGGGCTCTATTTAAGTTATAGCGGCGACATCTTTCACTTATGTTTTGTATTGCGAGTTGCCCAATAATCAAACTAATAATGTTGTGTACAATAAAATATTTAAAAATATATGATTTTTTTAAGAAATGATTGTACAATTAAATACACTTTAACTTATAATACATCCCAATTAAATACATTTCGTGCATCGCACGAGTTACACACTTGTCCATTATAAAACTTAGATCTTTTCAGCGAATCTACTAACGTGCAATATTCAAAATTTTCAACGATCTAGTGGTGGTTGGAGAGCAACGCGCGCAAATAAGTCTCAACCGAGTGGAGACCGCAAAGCTCCTTAACGACAGGCATAGTAGCTGGCACGTCCAGCTGGAATGTCGACTCAGTGCCTTCCAATCCTCCCCACGACTTGAGCTGTTTTCTTGCATCCTTAATTGCTGCCCGCATGGCACAGTGCATTGATGCCGCCAGAAGCAGCGGCGGCTCACTAGAAGCTGCACCAAAAAAATTTACTTGATCAAATTACAAACAAAGTGTAGTGTTTCTTTTTTTCTTTTTAAACCCATGCATTTCTTGAATATTTTGCTCTCAATACTAATCAACAACCAAGCATTTCATCATTTAATGCTTCGGCTAAGACGGTGAGTACCTTTAGACGAGAGGACGCGTTTCTGGTGATGTCCGCTGTTTAGTATTTCGACGTTGAATTCTTTAGGGATAGTGTCAATGGTCGGGATCTTGTACGTCCATGTCCCGTCAGCAACCATCAGACCATCCGAATTGGACGGGTATTCTTCTAGCATGAAAAATCCGAGCCCTTGTACAAATGCCCCTTCAATCTGCGTAATCGATATTGAATTTTAGTTATTTATTTTTTAAATTCAAAACTACGAAAAGTAATGATTGACCTGTCCCAAGTCCACAGCTGGATTCATGCTCTGGCCGCAATCATACACGATGTCTGTTCTTAATATTATTGTCTCACCAGTTAGGATACTTACCTCCACCTGCAATATAAATGATAAACAACCCATTTGTTAGTGTGATCTGCTCAATGTGGTTGAAATCTGAGAACGAATCTAATCAGATTGCTGCTAAATTGAGAAACATGTGAATATGGATAAACTCGATGAGAATAATTCTTACCTCACTTACTGCAGCACCATAGTTCAAGTATCTATTAGAACTTGAGTCGGGCACAAAGTAAGAATTTGCTGCCAAATTCACAGTTCGATAATGTGCCTGCATTCAATGCTCGATCAGAAAAATAAAAATAAAAATGCCGTATATAGGATGAACATGAATCAAGACTGCCAACCGCGTGTTAATGTATATAAGTACTGTATGACACAGCTCTGCATACTTCACATCTAAGGTTAACAATATTTATCTTTAAACACAAAATAAGTGTGGCCATAAAGTTAAGTTTTTGTATTCGAAAACAAAATTCCTTGTCCTCAAGAGAAATCGAAATTTCTTGCATGAAACTGAAGCTGTTCTGTCATGCATTCAAGATACCTGGAGAATCAGATCACCCCATTTCACAGAACCTCTTTCCTCCATCAACTCTTTCTTAAGCGAGGCCAATCTCTCGACCAAAACGTTACAGCACAGCCTAACAGCCTCGCAACTCGACTCAGAAGTCGTGCTACCTACCGTAAACCCTCCCTGCACCACACTCAACGTGTCCGCCTGCACAACCCGAATTTTCTCCACCAAATCTTCACACCCGATCCCACCAAGAGCATATGCCGCCACCTGTCTCACCTTCGTCCAAAGCCCCTGCCCCAATTCTATGCCCCCAACTTCCACGACCACAGACCCATCCCAAAGTATGCTCACTTTCCCAGGACTCGGCCTCACCAAAACATCGTACACAATCGGGACTCGGGATATGCCCCTCTTTCGCCACATATGAGACCGGTTAAACTGCTTGACTGCCCTCACCCTCTGCTCAAACCCCGATGACTGCCCCACCTTATTCCAAATCAAAGGCAGAGTGTACTCGAACAATTCTCCCGACGGGTCTCCATAAAACACCTTCAGACTCTCGTGCGTGTGGAGATTCCTGTTCCTCACGTAATCTGAGAAATGAGGCCACGTGCTCGATTATGGCCTCGGCTATGAAAGATCCTTGGACCTCACCCGGGCCCCGCATGGCGGATCTGCTCGGGAGGTTTGTCTTGCACACTTTGATGTCGAAGGAGAGTGCGCCCCAGTTGTATTTCTTGAGGGGCCCCACCATGTTGCTCGGGATCGCGGGGCTTATGTCGTGGGTTATGCCGGCATCGATGAGCACGTCCAGGTGTAAGGCCGTGAGCTTGCCATCTGATTTGAATCCGACAGTGTAGGTTATCTTCATCGGGTGTCTGCCTCCGGCGATCATCATGTCGGTTTTTCGGTCCATGTAAATTCTGACCGGACGACGTAGTTTATGAGCCGCGAGAGCACAGACAGTGGCAATCTGGAAAATATTTTCGAGGATACATCGAATTATTATAAATTTAAAAATGCATTTTAAAGTTACTTTAAATGTGATGTTAATAACCATATACTCACTGGCATTGCTTTTATTGCTTTCCCGCCAAAACCTCCGCCGACTCTTCTTGTAAGGACACGGACATTATGATCGGGAACACCTAGACATCTTGCAATTACTCTATGAGCAAACTCGGGAGCTTGACTCGAACTGTAGACCACAATGCAGTTGTCTTCATCTGGGATTGCGAGTGCGGTTTGGGTCTCCATGTAAAAGTAGTATTGTGAACCTAATCTTATCTGTCCATGTCACTTCTTAATCAATTACAGATAAAAGTAGTTGAACAAAATAAAGAACTACAGATAAATCAAAGCACCTCAGCTGAGAGAATCTTGTGATCAGCTTCAGCCATTCCTTTTGAGAAATCGCCAACTTTTGCAGGGTATATAAAAGGAGGAATATCGATGAAACTCGATCGTTCAACAGCATCTTCAACTGTTAATATAGGTGGATCTAAGCCTTCTGTATCATAATCAATTACAGCAGTTTTTGCCGCCAAATTCGCTTTCTTTTGTGTCTCTGCAACCTACAGAATATTGTTAACAGTTTCAGGACATAAGTCAACAGATTTTCAGAGCTATTATAAAGTCTGCTTGCAGTTAACAGGAAAGTTTCACCAACACCAGACAGATTAGAAAAAAAAAAAATATAGCTTGTTCATAGTACTTGAGAAGTGCTCGAACATTACCACGAAAGCAATGAGATCACCAGCAAATCTAGTGACATCATCAGCAAATAAAGGTTCGACACCTAACGCGGTCATACTTCCTACGTTTTCGCCTTCTTTTGGGATATCTTTGACAGAGATAACAGCAGCCACTTCAGCTTGTTGTGGGTGAGACTTAAAAGAAATGCCTTTCACTCGAGCCACAGGCTTGATGCTGCATACAAATGCTCCATGCAAACAGTTTGGGGGTGAAGGAATGTCGTCTACGTAAATAGCTTCACCTGAAGATTACGAACCATAAGTACAATGGGAACAAATACATGCAAAGCGTGGATTTAATGGAAATGTGGATTTCAGCTTGATTGGAGTATGGATCAAAGGACGGTGTATGGATCACAAGACCGTTTTGCTTCCTATACTATGTGATAGTAAAATACACACACAACTTATTTTGAAGAACTGAACTACAATGTGAAGTTAATTTTCAGCAGAATCAAATCAAATTGGAACATTCATTGTTGAAGTTAACCACAATTTACAATACTGAAACAATTTGTTGAATTTTCCCTCCACAACTAGTGGAAAATCCTTGTTAGTCTAGGTAAGCCACTATTGATTTTAAGCTAAGCGTTTTAACTGAAGTAATAAAAAATGAAAACTGAAAAGAAGCATAACTAACCAGAAGCTTGCATGGCAGCACCAAATTTTGTCATAGGTGCACCCACCGGATGATAGTCTTTACTAGATGTCACAATCTGCTTAGCTGATGACAACAATGGGGGTTCCTCTATTTGACTAATTTTGCCCTCATTCACACTTTTAGCACTGGATAGTTCGGAACCCACACTGGAAAAGCTATTAAGAAACTCGAAAAGAAAACCGACTGCTAAGCTTGACCTGTAAGCAGAATGTGACGTGCCTTCTTTAGACACCACATCACCTTTCACCAATTTGACAGCTTCATTCAGAACTTCTACACTAAGAATTTTCCCGTTCAAATACTCCTCGACTTTCCTTGCTCTTGTTGCGTGGTCCGTTCCGTACGCGCCAAAAGCCAGCTGGATATTGTTTACTAAAACCCCATTTGAACTGGAGCTAACATCAGCTAAGAAGGCCGCGTTGAGATAGGGCAATGCATTCCCGAGAGGCCGTGGTGCCGCACGGTAGGTTTCGAAAAACAATCTTGAGCTAGTTTGAATTGATCCATCAACTGTCTTTGGTTCCAGGAAAGGGATGTGAACAGTCAGAAGGACCGTTTTCGATTCCAAGGGAGGTCTCTTCAAGAACTCCTCAATTTTGATTTTTTCATGTTTATGACCTGTCAGCAGGCTTACACTAGAACCCACAGCCAGAAGTAGTGTGACAACATCTGAAGGGAAACATTTCCTCTGTGCGATAACCAAATTTCCACCAATGCTCGCTGAGTTCCGGACAAAGCCAGAAGCAAGCTTTTCTAAATGGTCAGCAATTTTGGCGAACACCATATTTCCACTTGAACCTAAGCTCACTTCACTTTTCTCTTTCAGATAAAAGATGACTTTGGAAATTGTCAAAGCTGCTCCAAATTCGATACCCGACTCATCCCTTCTAATCACTGAAAGCTCAGGAGTATACCTCAGATCAATGTATTTGTCGTATTTTTCTGTTTCTTTGTAGTACCCGTTTGCTGTGTTGCCAACAACTAATCTGATCTTTGCCCCATTTTCAACCATATCAGAATTCAACAACTTTTGAAGCTCGTCAACTGTTACAGGACTGTACCATGAACATTTATCAGAGTTCCAAAGGCCCCCAGACTTGAACCCATCTCCCAATTTTTCAGCATATGCACAGGCATGATCCTTTGGATCGTAGGACGGTAATTTACTAATCTTGACTTCGTTTGAATCTCCCTTTTTCCAGAAAGAATTAACCCCCAAATCCTCCAAGTCAACATTTGCTGCAAAACTCTTGCAGGCATCGGCAATGGGCCTGTAACCGGTACATCTACAAAGATTTCCAGAAATAGCCTTTTCTGCTTCTGAAGTTGTCAGCTTGGAAAACCCAGCGGACGATTTTGCACGATTGTTTTGCTTTTCGGCATTGGCGAGTGCCGAGAAAAGGGACACGCACATTCCAGGTGTGCAAAACCCGCATTGAGAAGCATGGAAGCCAGCGAACCTTTGATGGATCGGGTGGAACCCGTCTTTACTGTTTCCAAGGCCTTCACTTGTTGTAATCGAGCAGCCATTAATGCTGCATAAAAGCGTAAGACATGAACTCACAGTGAAATTCTCAACTTGATTGAGATTGGTATTGTACTTTGACAGCAGAACAACACAAGCCCCACAACCGCCTGCAAAGGTTGAATTTTTTTTTGTCAAGATTAATAGGAATAGCTCCAAAAGTCAGAGTTAAGCTTAAATTCAATAAAAAAAAAAAAAGTGGTTTTACTTGCCAGAACTAATCTGTCCCAAGAAGAACTTGCTGAAGGCTAATCATTAGGCATAATTCTTGTACTATTAGTAATTTTTAGAGATAAT